GTCACCACACCCCGCCCTGAGCGTCACGGTTCCGGCTGCGCATATAAGGCTCCACCACCCTGCGCTTACTTGGCGCCGAGAACGCGAGTCCGCGGGTCTGCAGGTCTGCGCGTCCCACTCTTCCCCACTCAGGTAGGGACGCCTCGAGCGCACCGGGCTGCGGGAAGCCCCCGCTTTGGAGCTTCTCCAGCCCTCTCCAGACCTCAGCACTTGAGCCTTTGTTTTCCACCTGCCGTGGCGGCCTCCTTTGTTCTTGGGGTGCGTTGGGGGAATCGAGGCCAGAGCTCGGCGTGCTCCCGGCCCCCCGCTCGCGGGGGTTCCTGCCGGGGCCGTGAGCCCACGCCACCGCGTTCAGGCCGACACGCTAATGGGAGGCACGGCGGCTGCGGCTGGGCCGCTCTGGCTGCCTGGCCGGGAGGGAGGGGTCTCCCGCGGTCTAAAAGCTGCGTACAGCCGGTACCGAGGAGGGTTCGGGGCAGTGCCGCCGCCTCCGCCGCTCTGACTCGGTCACCGGGCCCAGCACGCAGTGTGACCTTGGGACGCGAGGACAAAGGGTCTTCGGAGGCGCACTGACCCGGCGGGCGTGTGTGGGGGGTGGTTCTCAGCTTTCAGTCATGGCCTCTGGCAACGCGCACATCGGAAAACCCGCCCCGGACTTCCAGGCCACCGCCGTGGTGGAGGGCGCCTTCAAGGAGGTGAAACTTTCGGACTACAGAGGTGAGGGCGGCTTGGAGGGGCCCGGGTGGGGGCGAGGGCCAGGCCTGGGAAGCGCTGGGTCCTCACTCGTCTATCGCCGCTCCCTCTAGGGAAATACGTGGTCCTCTTTTTCTACCCGTTGGACTTCACTTTTGTGTGCCCCACGGAGATCATCGCTTTCAGCGAGCATGCCGAGGATTTCCGCAAGCTGGGCTGCGAGGTGCTGGGGGTCTCTGTAGACTCGCAGTTCACCCACCTGGCTTGGTACGAGCGGGGTCCAGCAGGGAGGGAGGGTGCAGCCAAGCGTAAACCTCTACAGGGTCCGAGCTGTGTGTTCTAGTGGCCATTGCTCAACCTCTGCACCTCCCTTTCCCATCTTGAAAATTATGGAAATAATGACGCCCAAGACCTTCGTGATGACGACAGTAATTAGCATTTGGAATCTAGTTGCTTGCTGCGAAGTTGCACGGGCTTAATCTCATTTAGGGCAAAGCAGCCTCCCTCCCAAGAACTATTTCAAGAAGGTGGCAACTCCAGTTCTGGGGAGTGGAGGGCTGGGCCCCAGGACACAGCTAGAGAGGAGGATGGGGACTCTGCTCCAAGATGCTGGAGACCACCAGCACACGTGAAGCCACTGTGTTGGAACGAGAACATTAACTTAGTCTTCCCAGCTGTTGGAAACAGCCCCTGCACCCACTTCAAGGTGGAGCGGGTGGGACTCCCAGGGCCTTGCTCCAAAGCCCCTTATCTCTCTACTCCAGCACCCTTATCACACCCAGGCCCACAGGGTGAGTACCCTGCTTTGCCAGGCATACTGAGGTCCCAGCTCTGTCTCCCCTACTCCCAGGATTAACACCCCTCGGAAGGAGGGAGGCTTGGGCCCCCTGAACATCCCCCTGCTGGCTGATGTAACCAGAAGTTTGTCCCATGATTATGGCGTGCTGAAGGAAGATGAGGGCATCGCCTACAGGTACTGTGGAGTCCTCAGGGGACCCCCATCCTGAGGGTAAGGGGATCACTTTTGGGCAATGCCCTCCCTGCCTTTGGCCCTGTGGCTCCCAGGAAGATGGTGCTCTCTCCCCTGGCCCAGCCAGTGGGAGTGACAAGCTCTTCACTGTGAACCCTTATATCTTCAGGGGCCTCTTTATCATCGATGGCAAGGGTATACTTCGCCAGATCACTGTCAATGACTTGCCTGTGGGCCGCTCCGTGGATGAGGCTCTGCGGCTGGTTCAGGCCTTCCAGTACACAGATGAGCATGGGGAAGGTGAGTGGACACACATTCACGTGTGTTCACACGTAAGCACATATACAGCCCCTCTCTGTCACTCATATGGACATTCACTGCCTGCTTTATCACATATGTGACATGCATGTAAGGGCCCCAAAGAAGGTTCAGCCCAGGGCCATGTCTGCATGAAGTTTCTAGTCTGGTGGGGAGATACCCCAATACGAGGATGGGGAGCTGGGAGGTAATAAAAATGTATAGAGAAAGTATTTGAGAAGGTTTGTGCCAAGGTAGGCTTGAATAAAAATAGTTGGATCAGAGTACCTTCTTGGGTGGAGGGCACATCTTGATCATAGCCTAAATCTGGTAGGAGTGGAACTGAGGGAAAAAGATGGGGCTAAAGGAGCCAAAACGAAATAAAAATATCAGCTACACTCTGGCCCACGTGGCTCCGTTGGTTGGGCATTGTCCCGTGTACTGAAAGGTTGCCTGTTCCATTCCTGGGCAGGGCGCATGCCCAGGTTGCAGGCTTGATCCCTAGTGCAGGAGGCAGCCAATTGATGTTTTGCTGTCACGTTGATGTTTCTCTCTCTCCCTTCTCTCTCTCAAAATAAAAAAAATATTTAAAAAATATGTTAGTCACAAAATCCTGCATTTGGGCTTGGAGGCTTCTGTCAACATGTGGTGTAGTCTTGGGCCTGGACCACTTGGCTCTGGGCTTCTTCTTCTGCAACTCAGGATCTCATTTTGCCTCTCACTGTTGCCCTGCCTTGAATATGGGGCTGTAGTCTCACATGTGCATTCTTGTGTCTTCCCACAGTCTGTCCCGCTGGCTGGAAGCCAGGCAGTGACACGATCAAGCCTAACGTGGATGACAGCAAAGAATACTTCTCCAAACACAACTAGGCTGGCAGACAGGTGCCACGCTTGGGCTCTTGGCCCCCACCTGATTGCCCTGTGCTAGCCCAGGAAAGGCTCCTACTGGGTGCCCTTTCATATTCCACAGTCCTGACCCTGAAGGGCTAGGCCAAGGCCTTCTCATATTCCTAGCTGAATGGTGAATGATGACTCATCCCTGGAGCCCCCTAACTGGGCACAGGCCTAGAGGTGACCAATAAAGTATTAGGGACAGATGTGAATCTGTGTTGGTGTGGTGTGTCCAGTTGTCTCTTGTTGGTCCATATCCCTCACCCCCACCCGCCCTCTTCCAAACTCTCCCTTGAGAATCTGACACTAGTTACGCATCTGCACCACAAGGTGGCAGTCTTACCTCATGTTCACTGTTTTCTCTCGCTGTTGGCGTAAGGGCGGTTGTGTGTTGGGGGGGTCGCTGTGTGGGTGTTTGCCCCTAGCCTTGAGCAAGTCCCTAAACCTGGCTTTGCAGCGCAGTCCCAACACCTGAGTTCAAATGTCATTTTAAAAGATGTGATCCTTCCTGGCTTTCTTCATCAGGAAAATGGGAATAAAAACAACCAAGCCAGATAGCAATGCATGTTAAAAGAAATAAAGTATGTAAAGCTTGGGGTCCAGTGAATGGTTACTAGGGTGGGTTCCTGGGCCTGGAAGAAGAGTCCAGTTTTATGGGAAAGAGGATGGGGATCCAGTCCTGAGAGCAGAGCCAAGAGTGGGAGCTCCAGTCCCTGGCTAGGTAGTCCAGTAGGTTAGAGCTTCAACCCCAAGGTTAGGGGTTCAATCCCCAATCAGGACACATACAAGAAGCAACCAATGAATGCATAAATAAGCAGAACAGCAAACTGATGTTTCTCTCCCTCTCTAAAATCAGTAAGTAAAAGATTTAAATAAAAGAAAAAGAGTGGGGCTCAGTGGGGCATGGCTCAGCGGTTGAGCATCGACCTAGAAGACAGGTCTCAGTTTGATTCTGGGTCAGGGCACATGCCGGGGTTGCCCGCTCGATCCCCGGGGGGGGGGATAAGGAGGCAGCCGATCAATGATGACTCTTTCATTCATGATTCTATCTCCCTCTCCCTATCTCTGAAATCAATAAAGATATTTTAAAAAAAGAAAAAAGTGGGAGCTTGAGCTACATGAACAGTGGACAAGCTCTGCCCCACTGAAGACTGAAAGGGCCACCTGTCAGCCCCTAGGGTGGGAGGGTGAGGGGTTAGACTGGGAGGCAGGTGTCAAGAGCAAGGCAATTTTCCCAGGAGTGCAGTTTGATGCTGTATGTGTCTAAGTAAGTGACTTTGCCACTCTGAACCCTTCTTTCCTTCCACAGAACAGGACTGACAAGCTCACTTAATCCATAGACCCATTACTAATATTGCTGTCCAGCCTAATAACCACCAAAGTCACTAATCTCAGCCTTGGAATTTTATCTACACTTCTCCCCAAGGCCCTGTGTGGTTTTCCCTGACCTCATCTCTACCCTCCTGGTTTATTCCATTCCAGGATACTGGCTTCTTACCATTGTTCTTTAATAGACTAATCTTGTTCTGCCCACAGAAACTGCATGTGTTCCCTCTGCCCAGAATGCTGTTACCCAGGATTTTCTCATGACTGGACTTCTTCAAATCTGGTCTCATTAAACGTCCATGTTCCCAATCTACTCTCCAAAGCAGCTCATCTCCCCTGCTCCATCCCTTCCATTTTGACCTGTGTCTTCTCTTCCTAGCACTTACCACCATCTCGGAATCATGTTTCCTTGTTTATTGTCTGTCTGCTGTGGTCTAGGCTGTGTCTCCAGGGCTGAGTTGTTCAGTACTTTATAAATTAATGAAGTGTCTGTTCTGTCCAGCCCCTGTGGGCTGGTTTCTCTGCTGTTCTGAGTGCATCCAGCTCCGAGGCTGGGTGCACCAGCTACACTCAAACCCATCTCAGCTGCGGGAGAAGGAGCCCCGTGTCAGAGCGGCAGAGGCGTCCGGCGGCCTGAGCAGCCACCGCAGCAGCACCAGACCTGGCAGTCACCCCGATACTGGCCTGGCATCGGGAGGGGAAACTGGCAGGCGGGCGCCGCCCTTCCTGGCGGGGGGTGAGGGGGACCGCTGCGGCAAGGACTCGCAGGCTGCAGCAAACCCCCACCCGGGTCAGGTCAGACAGCGTGGGCGCGGCGGGGCCGGGGTGCCAGCCAGAGATGGGAGGCTCTGGGGCGGCTCCCTGGACTCAGGAGCGAGACCCGCCCACCACGGACGCTCTGGACCCAGGCCTGGGGCTTTCCGGGCCCGGGCAGCCGCCTGCCTGGGAAAATCCCGGCCTCCTTCCGGGCGCCGGGGCCCTTGCCCGGCAGAGCGGGGGAGGGGATTCCCGGAATCTGCCCGGAGACCGCCGTCGCGTCACTGGACAGAATCCGCCCATATATGGGCAGCGCTTCCGTTTCGTCAGCAGGGAAAGCCCCGGCGTGCGCTGCAAGGCGGGACGGTGCCTGCGCACTGCGCGTACAGCCCCAGGCATCCTGCCCCCAGGTGTTGGGAGGCTGGACCGCGTCCCCGCCCTGGACTTTCCAACCCCCGGGATCAGGCAGCCAGAGGAGGGTCGGACACCCCGGCTGCGATCGAGAGATGCTTGGGCAGAGCTGGGGAGGTGAGACAGATACCGACGCGAGCCACAAACAGCAGCGGGGTGGGGGCATCCCACTACTCTCCTCCCCCCGCCCTCCGGGTTTGGAAAAAAAGACGACAGAAATTAATAAAGAACCTTTTTTTTTACTTAAATAGATTCAATAAAAAGTCGGAACAACAAACGCACACACGCACACAAACACATCTTAAAATAAACTCTTTAGAGACCGTGTTCGTGTTTCTCCACAGTACGGTGCAGAGGGGGAGGGCAGGGGGCGAGGATCCCCTCCTCGGTGTCCCCGCGGGCTTGAGTACCGGGCAGCGGGGCCAGCTCCGCCGTGATCGCCCCCTCCTCCCCTCCCTGTTAAATACACAAATATATTATATTCAATATGAATCGAGTCCGTTTCCAGCAGAAAAACAAAAACAAACATGGAAGGGGCGGCTTGTAAACGTCGAGGTGGAAGGACTGGGCGCAGAGCGGGCGAGCGGGCGGGCGGGCAGGGATCCAGTGTGGTTTTCGGCGCCCCCATGCCCCGGGGCCCGTGCCCACCGCCTGCCCCCTCACCCTCTGATAGGCCTGCGCCCAGCCGTCCAGGCTGGGGTGGGTGGGGGGAATGTCCGAACGGGGAAGGGGTGCTCAGAAGGCGTGTCCCTTGACCCCTAGCAGCAGCTGGCAGCCGTTGCTGACGTGGGTCATGACCTTCTGTTTGAGCTGGGCCACCTGCTCCCGGAGGAGGCCCGCAGTGCTCGAGAGTCCCGCATTCTCGGCCTTGAGTGTCTTCACCTTGTCCTCCAGGCGCGCGATGCGCTCCAGCTTCCGCTTCCGGCACTTGGTGGCCGCCAGCCGGTTCCGCAGCCGCTTGCGCTCCACTTTGATGCGCTCCTGGTCTTCCATGTTGATGGGGGACACTGGCGGCGTGGCGTCGCGGCTGCGCGCCTCAGGCACGGTCTGCGGTTCCTCCTTGAAGGTGGAGGAGCCGCGGCCCAGGCCCAGCTGTGCCGGGTGGCCGCCGGCGAAGGGCGGCGCGTGTGGGAGGTAGCTGATGGTGGCCGTCGGGTACGAGCTGCCTGTCCCGACGGCGGCCCCTCCGCCTCCGGAGGGTGCAGAGGCAGGGGAATAGCTGCTGAGGTTGGTGTAGACAGGAGGCGGCTCCGGGCCAGCATAGACACCCCCGGGCCCCGCCGGGGGCCCCCCGCTGGCGCCCAGGGACACGTTGGGGGGCGTCACGTGGTTCATCTTGTGCAGGTCGTCCAGGGCTTTGACAAAGCCGTCGGCGAAACCCTCCTGCTCCTCGGTGACGACGCCCCCTGCACCTCCACTGCTGCCACCCCCGCGAGGGTAAAAGTACTGTCCCGGAGGCGTAGGCGTCGTCGTGATCACGCCGTTGCTGTTGGGGACGATCAGGCGCTCCAGCTCTGATGAGGCTAGCTTGAGCGACGCGCCTGTGTCCGAGCCCTGGCCGGAAAAGTAGCTGCCACCACCGCTGCCCTCTGGGCCGGGGCCCCTCGCCCCGGGTGCTTTCAGACCTCGGTAAGGGTCGGTCAGGTTGAGCGCCAGGCTGGGTTTCAGGAGTTTGTAGTCGTGTAGAGAGAGGCCGCCCGGGGCCCGGCCGTATCCCGCAGCTGCGTATGAATCGTCGTGGTAGAAGGGCTGTTCCATTTTAGTGCACATCCGGACGGCCCGGGCGGTCGGGGGGAGGGGGGGGTCCCTGCGGGGCCGCCCCGGGCCTCGCTGCTGCGAGCGGCGCGCTGTCCTCGGCGGTGGCTGGACTGGGTGTTTGGAAGCGCGGTCTTGGGGCTGACAACGGCCGAGGGAGGCCAGCCGGCCGCCGTGCGCGGAAGCTCTGTGCGGCTTCGCGAGTCCGAGTCCCTCTGCCCCGCTCTGGCGCGCTCTCTTTCTCGGTGTCGGTTCCCCGGGCTTCCCGCTCCCCGCTGGCTCCGACGCTGGCCTGCCGCGCTCAAAGTCCGGGCGGCTCAGCCGGAGCCACGCGCCTTTATACCGCGATTGTCAGCTGCGGAAGCGCTCTCTGATTGGCCGCCGCGCGAGCCGGGCCCTCGCGCCCCCCTCCTCGAGCGTGGGGAAGGGGAGGAGGCGGCTCGCGTCACTGTCAGGAAGCGCGTGTCCTTGTAAACAGCGGCCACGGGCTGGGTGGTTTGGCGAGGCTGCTGGGGGAGGGGCTCAAGGGATCTCGGGGGCGCACGAGGAAGGGGATTCTGGGACACAAGGGGAGGGACTCCTGGGAGGGCGATGAAACCCCTGGAGAACGAGATGAAGGACCCGAGGAACTGGTACAGAGCAAGTGTGTGTGTGTGTGGGGAGGTGTCCCAAGTTATATACAGAAGGTCTGAGGGACTTGTAGTATCCGAGAGGGGCTGGAGGGCTGTGAATACTCTGGGAGACCCCATAAAAGAGAGATGGAAGGGTTAAGCAGGGTAAATGGGAGAGGGGTAAGGGGACCCCTGACTCAGAAATTAAATGTGGGTCCTGAATACAGAGGGGTTGAGGGACTGGAATTTTCATGGGAGGGACTGAACCCAAGAAAAGTGAAGAGTGGGAGTGTGTGTGAAAAGGTTATACGGAGAGGGGCTTGAGGGCCCATTATACAAGAAATAAGTAGGGGTCCTGGAGTCCATGGGAGAGGCTGAGGGTCCCCCATAAATGGGAAGGAGAATCTAGATATGCAGAAAGTGAATGAGAGTCTTGGGCTACACTGAGTTAGGGAAAATATATGGGGTAGGAGGAGACACTGTCACAGGTTGGGGGTCACCGGGGTCATCTGCGATGCTCTGACGAAGGAGAATGTGAAGGGTCGAGGCGCACTTTCAGAGCTGAGATGACAATGACAGAGGGTCCCTGGCTGAGACATTCGGGAAGGAAGGGTCTTTGAGGATCCTGAGGAACTGGACTGCTGGATCTTCCATGATTGGCGCCCCCTCTTGTGGGTGACCTCCAGGCGCCTGTATACTCTGTCCCCATCCCAAAGCCCTCCCCCAGTAACCCTGGGCTTGACCGACACCGCGTCAGCTCCTGGTGCCTGGACTCAGCCCGAAGGCCGGGGCGCGGTCGCCCAACCCCACTCCTTCCTTAGAAACAGGCCGGGGAAGAGCTCCGCGGCAGGAAGTGTGGCAACAGCCCTGGGGGAAGGAGCCCGGCCCTATCTCCGTCACTCGGATCCTACGGGACCTTGCACCCCGCCCTGGGTCGGGCCGGGTTCTGAGCCTCTGAAGAGGAACCTGGGCGCGGGACCCCGGTGGAGGCTGGGGTGCACCGAACACGCCCAGCCTCAGAGGCCTCCAGTTACAGTCCCCTCCCCAGCAATGGTTCAGCCCGCGGTGCCCACGGACGATCTAGGAGGCAGGCAGTCCGGGGACGATTCCATTAGCCCGAGGAAGGGGGACGCACCGGGGAGCGGGTCCTTGTCGCCGTGGCAACAGGCGGGAGTTGGCGCTTGGCTGCCAGCCGGGCGGTCCCTGGAGTCTCTCCCCGACGCCCATATAAGGCTACAGGAAGGGGTGGGACCAGTGCTGTCCCGGGGTCCCCCAGACGGGTCTCGCCCGGGTCTGTGCCAGGTCCCAGGGCGTGTCCCGGCCCCCGACAGCTAGTCCCGACCAGCCCAGCCACCGCCCCCGGGGCCCCCACGGCCTCCTGGACTGGCCCCACCCAGTCGCTGTGGGGCTGCGTGTTGCCAGGCCGGGCCCGGGCCCGACCCAGCCTGGCAGGTCCCCGCCTGCCCGAGGGCCTGGGTCGGACTTCGCCCCTGGCCCGACGGGGC